GTGTTTCCTAGACTCCCAGATACCTCCAACACTACAGATAGACATCCCTCCAGAAATGGCTGAGAAAATTCTTGAACGCAGGCGTGAAATGGGTCCATACGTGTTTCGCGAAGCCCAATTGACAGTATTCCGCGTCCTCTTTACTCACTGGAATGATTTTTGCAACTTCAGAAGCAACCTGGCCGACGAGAAAATTCTTCCTACAATTGAGCGGCAGAGACGAAGAGCTAGAACAAAAGAGAAGGCTTTACAGAAGAGACTAGAAGAGAAGGCTGAGAGAGATGCTGCTAGAAGAAAAGCACTGGGGATAACGATGGATGGAGAAGAACCTGATCATGATCCGTATGCTGCTCTCAACAAATTCGATAAAGAGGATGATGATGATGCTGGCTCTCAGAAAGACGAACCCGGCAAACTATCGTTCCAATACTCTGCATACGTTACAGCATTGGACCAAGAAGAGATTATGAATAAAACTGACGTTTTGACTTTCAGTTCCGTCTCTGATAATGGTTCAGTTAAAGACCCTACAGAAGAAATCGAAATCGATCATGAAACCAAGAAAGCTAAGACGAAGGAAGCTGACAAAAAAGATGTCGAGAAGGATGCCATACACGAAAAACCCAAAAAGAAGGAAAGGAAAAAAGTCCGGATGGCCGACTCACCGAATTTAACAACCGAAGTGAAACCCACGACTTCGGACAGTCAAAGTCAAACCGATAAACATCAGTTAAGCAAAGAAAAAGATGTCCAATCACATGTGCCAAAAGAAAAGACTGATACAACCATAAAAAAGACGCAAGAAGATCAGCAGAAGGGGAAAATAAATGGACGAGAAGGACCCCGAAGAAAAATGCCACCACTTGGACGTAAAATAATGAACTAAGGGAAGACAGCGACTTAGGTAATGTAATCAGATATTATATATTAGATATGGATGAGATTAAAATGATCTATTTTTCACAACCTTAAAATAAGCATACCATACTAAAAAATACACTCATGAATCATGTTAACATAGCTATAGAAAATTCAAAATCATCGATTGTGAGAAAAATATTGATTCTTGTACAAATTACGACTTATGTTTCATGTTCTTGTGATTGTTGTTCTGCAAATTCGCAATTTTACAATGACAGATCATTATTTTCTTTGATTAACATGCAAGCCAGTAAATATGCCGTCGATTAAATTGCATTGATTAAGCATCATTTCCTAGATTTTATAAATAAATGGTTTTCAATTTTCCAGACAGCTGATGTAGGCTAAGAACATCGAAAACACACGAAGAAGGAATACAATTCGCAATGTCGGTGCCGTCATAGATGATTTATGATAGATGAGACAAAAACACAATTACCATTTGCGACAGTCACTTTATATGGAATATTTGAACGCACACTGCACATTTGTTCATTTATCTGGAATATTGGGACTTCAAAAATCAAAATTCAAAATCAGAACATATTCTTCAACTTAAATCTAAAATGTTTTATTATGAACGCATATCAACAATAATTGTTCAATTATGTCAACGTTACTCCTGGAAACTTTGATTTGTCTCTTACCAGAGTACTCCAAGCATTTTCAGAGTATTCTGTCAAACTTCCTTGTAAATGCTCCAACCATAAAAAGGATTTTGGTTTCTTTTCCAGTTTAAAAATATTTGAAAATATCAATTTATTAAAATTTGAGAGCACATGTTGATCGAGTAAATCAAAAGTAAACTATAAAATATTCCATATATCTGAGCAACGTTGCATACTGTGATACTGTATTGCGACAATAACTATGCCATTTGTTTAGCTCTCGGCTCAATGCTAAGGGTAGATGAAGGGAAACCAAACAATACAAGCAATCACATGGAACACTTCAAAGTAATAATACCAGTTATGATTTATACGTTTCAAGTAAAACGTCGATAATTTCAATTGATTGATATGACGATGTTATAATGAACGTCATATTCCATTATTCTCTTTGATACAGTCTGGCATAGGAAATTGCAGTTCTTGCTCGACACCAAGATTATTTATACAAGATTCCCTTGTTACTTTGAGTCACTCGCTGAATATGTTTGTATAGTTATATAAACTCATTTAGGATGTACTTGAACTTTCTTACGTGGATTAAATTGTGGAAAATGTGCAATGTGTAATTATAATGTTAAGCAAATTAAGCTTGATTATGAGAATCGTGTGGAGAATGATGCAAAGCATGGTTTGCACTTATTAGTTCTGTTGCCCCTCTAAGAAGAGATATTTATCTGCATTGTAGACACATCGAGTATCTAGAGACACTCTTCTCTTTTACGTAGGATCTTTCGCTGGTCGATAGATATGAATCAAAATATAGTAGTATATATAGAAACGTTGTATTCTATTCTCAATGTATGATTATTTCCATTAAAATGTTATATCTTGGAAATCAAGATGACTATTGTAGGGTTATGTCTATATACGTATGTATAGGATTCGTTATAGATAAATAGAACTAATGCGAAACACATTTTAATGCTCGTCTGGCTTTATTTTAATGGTTATCATCTTATCCAATTTACAACCTTATTGTCAACATAATAGAAAGAGTTATCGCGTTATTGTTGAGATAATTCTAGGGATATATCATGATTTATGAATTACTATTATAGCACTTAACAACCTGAGATAAGTATCGCCTGACAGGTGAATCTTATATCTGCTTATTACAAAATTTACCTGGGAATAATAGAATGATATGCGACACGAATTTTATATTAAGTTACTCTAAATTTGACTTGCACCCGTAACATAAAGACATACCGAGTAGGGTAAAAACTACTGCTCACCTTTATTTTTGAACACTTTATACGTCTTGTACGTCTTTGGTCTAAAAGTCGTGTAATTAAAGTCTATGTCAATGCATTAGGAATGAGCATTTTTGCTATAATTTGCAAGAAATTTTTTTATCCACAAAACAGCAATATGTTGCAAATGGAATTCTTCTGTCCCAAATGAATTTGTGATTCAATAATTTTTTCTTTAGTTGATTTAATTGTTAAAGCTAGAAAACAAAATTCCAATGAGAATTTAACATGGTGTAAACAAAAATCAAAAATATGCAAATCAGGGAGTAAGTATGTTTATTACAGTTGCGCTTCATTTGCTTAAAAGTATGCAGCTCTATGCAATAGGATAGTTTCTAAATAGCAGAAAAATCAATGAAATCTCGTGCTGCCATCTTTTATTCAGCTTTTAACTCTGGCTAGAGCTCCATTCACTTACATGCTAAAATCTTGGAAAAGTGGCTTAATTTCATGATTTATCAAAGTGTGTTTGTTGAATCTGTATAAAACTTGAATGATATACCACATGATGACCCTGTTTATGAACATGTTGTGATTAAACATGCTAATGTTGATTGACATACAAATAATCCACGGTTTTAAAGAATTTTAGCATTGCATCTATGGACATTTGGCCCAACTTTTTTTAAATTGTCATAGAAAATTATTCAAATTACATAACTGTGTAAATCAAAGCTATTTTAGGAGAAAACATTCCACTGAATTCAAATATACCATTTAAAAGAAGGTTATGTAAGTCATTAGAGGTCTAATATGCAAGTCTCTTAAAATCTCACGAAAAACGAGATTTAGCGAGATTTCAAAAGCTATATGGAAACTATACTATTACAAGCACTGGTGATCCACTCGATTACGCTGGAACCGTTTCGGTAACAAAATGTCGGAACGTCGAAGGTACGATTTTTCTTTTTTCCTTATTTCACACGCTGTAGGCAGAATTCCCACGACATTTTTATCACAAACGTGTATCAGTATCATATGTTTAGAAAATGTACACATTTGCGAACAAATACTTCAGAAGACAACGGATTCGTCGATTTAATTCCTCACTTAAGTTACATAAACGGTATTTCGAAAAACAATTAAGATCTGCACTTTTAAGCCCTATTACAGCGTAATCGAGCGGATCACCAGTGACAAGGGACCATCTCAAAGGTGGACTGGAGCTTTTTATAACAACTCAACGAGAAATCTTAACATATTCTTACTATAGTTTTAATCACTATCACCACTTGAATCTATTTCGAGAATGATGATTACAGGATTCCATTTCCTTAATAAGATCTTTTCTCTTACCCATCTCTAAGTAAACTGAATAACATTGGATTTGAAATTATCCCTGAGTATATATACAATAACATTGTGGGTAGAAGATTACATGATTGCAATGCTTATAAAAACCACAATGGTCACTCCATGCATGAAGTTGATTTCATTGGTGTATGATTTCACATCGGTTGTTCACTTCTATAGGTTATCACCCACTGAAATATTTTCAGACAGAAACATTGAATATTGTGCTCGGAAAAATTGAATAGATTGTGCCATGTTAAATTCTCATTGGAATTTGTTTTCTAAACTAAATCAACTAAAGAAAAAATTATTGAATCACAAATTCATTTGGGACAGAAGCATTCCATTTGCAACATATTCCTGTTATGTAGATAAAAAAAAACTGTATTGCAAATTATAGCAAAAGTGCTCATTCCTAATGCATTGACATTAGCTTTAGTCTTTTCCTGAACAGACGCATACAAAACTAATAGAGCTCATCTGTTTAGCAATGCCATCTTTCTTTCGAAAATGAGAACAATGATGATAGTGCATGTCATAAATCCAGAAGATGAAATATTCGTAGCGCGGCAACATTTGAACCAATTAAAGAGTTGCATATGTCTTGGTTTTTTAAAATACAAGTTGGTGAAAACGTCCAACGTTCGGGTTGAAATATGCATGTCATCACAAGGGATCAAAAACGTAGACATTTTCTAATTAGACATTAGACAAACGTAATTCTAATTTTTATGCATTATATATAAAAGCCGGAAATCAAAACATATATACAATAAGTTGGATTAACATTATGCTGTAGAATTAATTCTAATTTCAATGTAAATGTCATTTTTTAAAATGTGAATTAGTTTTTATTACTTTTTACTCCTGTTGAACGACATGCATGATCGGCCCATAAGCCGGGGGCCAGGGTATATTGGTTGGCCATATTACAGTAAATATAAATACGGAACATGTTATGTAGGTATGTAAATATTACGTTGAATATCACTGCCCTATACAGTGTGTCTCAAAAAAAATGTTACACTTACAAAAAGTTCAATATCTTTCATAATTTTGACTTTTCCCTAAAATATACTTTGGATATCAAAAGACAAATCTTTCTCGAATAATTTGACACCATCAGATTCAAAATCTGTCCTTGATTGACTGCACAGGGCAGCTTTTAGTGTCCCATGGTAAAATTTGACTTGCGCCAAATTCTAAGTGATTGGGTGGACTAAATGACATAAGAGGAACAGTTTCTTTAACATTTAACTTTCTTCTGAGTTGAAGCTTGAAATTTAACTGAGTCATTATGTAATTTTCCTATTTGTCTTACATATGATCATTGGGTCTATCCACATAAACATGTGGTCCCCTCAACATGTTCTCCAAAGCAAATCTGAGGTACCTTTGCCCATGCGCACATGCATTGTAATATCACACTGATTCCATCAATTATTTTGGCAGAAGTTCATTTAGGTCAGTTTTTGATGCTGTAAAGCGCATTCAGAAGCCCTTCAAAATATCAAGGGTGTAAAGTGGCATGACAACGGGGCCAATCAATTGGGTAATTCAATGCTATCCTCTGATTTCCAAAGAGTTCTACCAAACGATCTGCCATAGGTCTTTGCACCATCCTGTTGCCATCATACGTAACAAAATTGAATACCTGGTACCTGATAATAGAATCTTGTATTACTATCCAGGAAAAAACACCTGGATCATTGATCATATTAAGATATCACTGTCCACAGAGTTCACACCAAAAAAGAATTGATCACTACATGTCCAACCACTGAGAAGTTGACGCAAATCAGATTTCATATGCGTCTGTAAAATCTGACCTGTGCAGCCAATCATGGACGGATTTTGAATCTGATAGTGTGGATTTATTTGAAAAAGACTGGTCTTTTGGTATCTAAGTATATTTTAGGGGAAAATTCAAAATCATGAAAGATATTGAACTTTTTGTAAGTGTAACATTTTTTTTGAGACACACTGTATAGTGTGCTACCAGCTCCATTATTAGGGGTCCTAGATATTTCACGCCAATGACTAAGACATCAAAATCTAATAAAAAGGTTAGTGCCATCTATACAAATATATAATTATGATTTTAGCGATCACGATATATTACACAATTGTCTCCGAAATTGTATTTTGTCTATTTCTTTCAAGCATAGTATGTGAATTTGTTCCCAAAACTGCAACAACCATAACATATCGTCCAGGCATATTCGTTGTTGTGAAGAATCATTAGAATCATTAAGATTTATCTAAATAGTCTAGACCTGTTGAATGTGGCATGTGATTTTGCGTGTGGTTGTACTTTCATTCATAAAATTATCATGGTGTGACATCCTACACTACGTTTACTCTCAATCTAAACATCGGATTTTTCCTTTTGAATCTGCAACAAACAAAATAGCGCTATGTACAATGTACGTCATGTATAGGCCAAATACAACTTGCAACGTGAGAAAACAACGAGTAACTCGAACGTCTAAATGTGGTTCGGGTTGGACAGATCAGGTTAAGGTAAATACGATTAGGTTAAATTATGCTAAGTTACAGATGAAATACTTCAATCTATGTAAACATCATCATTGTTATTATTAACTTACTGTATTTATGCTGCGATTTCTTGCAAAGCTCGCGAAACGTTCCATCGTCATAGATGGAAAGCATAGCTTCATTCAACCAGTCAATCACAGGATTCTTATATTGGGCCATAAAGGCATGTCCAGCACCTAGATAACCATAAAGCTATAAGATTATTAACCTGTCGAAATTCAAAATCTGGATCAAGGTCACTGGCGAATCTGGGCCACCCCCCTTGGGTGTGCCCAGAAGAACAATTGGACCCACCTTTAGGTTTTCTGACCTGAAATTTGCCCCCCCCCCCCTTGTTGGTTCCCAGATCTGCCCCTGAAGGTCATTTTCGGATTATTTGTTCAGTCGCCGACTCATACGGTCCTCTCATAGAAGAATCCTTACCTTCCTCGCCTCTCGTACAGACAAATCCGTCTTCAGAGACGGCCTTTAATCCCTGAACATTAGCAGGGTTGAACACAGAATCGGGAGAAACAAAAGCATCAATCTATAAAAAGCAAACGATGTACTTTCGTTTAATGTAAAACCCAGCGCATATCAATTAAACATGCTCCGTGGAGTTCCGAGTGGTCAAATTTTTATGCCATTTAATTAACATGATTCGACGGAGTAAGTTGGATTTTATCTTCAACTTTGTTGTTCTATATGCATATGACGTTTACACGGTGCCCATGTCAAGCTGCGCGCCTACTTAGGCGCGCAGTTTGTTTCGATCACAAACTGCGTGCCTAAGAACATTGGATCATTTAAGTTGGAGTCTGTATTTTGAAACGTTATTTAAAGACATTTATCCTGCATTGTTTTCTTGTTCAATGCGTTCATTCTGTGGCGAATATACGAATCTTGCAAATACTAGCAAAAACTGTGTGCAAATGAATCTTAGTTTTAAAACATAAGCAGATTAATGGCATTTTCGTCACTGATTTAATGGGAATTTATACGTAAATCGATCTAGCACTTTAAACATAAATGACAAATACTTTAGACTCGTTTTATATTTAATTCCTTACACATTTATCATGTTTAATTCAAAATATTTCGAAATAAAACAGATAATCAGGAGATTAAAAAGAAATAAACCACAAACTGCGCGCCTATTTTAGCCAGAAATTACAATATGTGCGCATACACTATTAAAACTACATATTATCATTGGAATTTCTACAGAGGTACGTGTAGGTGTTTTCGATGTAGCTTTGGAAATTTTGCTTTATCGTCAGATTTTATGAGATTTTCATATTGAAAGTCAAAATGTATTATAGAAGTGACAATTAAGTTGGGAACGAAAAAAACATTTATTTTCAGATCACCATCTTGGTGGATGGACTCTCATAGTGTTTCAATTATGGGGTTCTACTATTAGACACATATGTGCCTTGTATGGCGCTTATGTTTTCTAATAATACAAAACAAGCTTGGATAGGCAAGCAGTTTTGAAATATTAGGCACGCAGTTTGGGAAATACATGTGAATATAGGCGCGCAGTTTGACAAGAAAAATGTTTAAATCACGTTTATGGCGTATTATCGTTTTGAACACAAACTTTGCTGTTTTAATCAGATGGAGTGATCCTATATATTCTAGCATACACAGACACAATGGCTGAATAAACGGCAAATGACGATAAAAAGACATAGATATAACTTTACACTGTAAATTTTGAACACAGAAGTTACTTAAGACCCTTATATTGAGATAACTAGGTTTACATCGGGAAAAACATTGAGTACTATGAGTAAATTAAGTTCATCTTCACAGAATGGTACTATCTTTAGAACGAGACTAACCTTGTATTTTTCGTATTTTGGCTCTTTTTTGGAGTCGTGTCCTCCCCGTCTCACATTTTGAAATATGCGCGCAGTTTGTCAGAGTTTCAAACTGCGTGCCTAGTAGGCACGCTGCTTGACATGGGCATCGTGGTTTAGTAAAAAGTATTTATTACGAAGATAGTTGATGAATATTTGTGAAGTTAATTGGAATCATTATAGGTCGACGATTGCTTTTGAAGACATTGGATTCATAATGTTGATGAATATTTGTGAAGTAATTAGAATCATTATAGGTCGACGATTGCTTTTGAAGACATTGGATTCATAATGTTGATGAATATTTGTGAAGTAATTAGAATCATTATAGGTCGACGATTGCTTTTGAAGACATTGGATTCATATATAATGCTGATGAATATTTGTGAAGTAATTAGAATTATCACGCAATCATGTGTTAATGAATGTTTTTGGAGTCATTGGATCCACTAATGAATGAATATAACGATAAGGGTTGTCGAATAGACATAGGAATCGCTACGTTTACGAATGTTTGTGGTGACATAAAACCAAATGACAATCTTAAAAAATTCTCAAACATCCAAAGCAGAAATAGAACGACACGCACACACACACAATATAATTTGTCATACGTACCACGCCATTTTCTAATGCCTTCACCATTTCCTTGTGGACCTTATAGTAGAACTCATGGTATGATCCTCCTGCAGTTCCCTTCTCCGCAAGATCCGTCCCTTGGTCTGCCAGGCAGAACTTGTTAGTGGCCCAACCATCCAAGAAACCTGCGTTACAGAGATATTGTGATATTTTGAGACTGACACTGATACTTTCTCAATGAAATATTATTATCTTCTTTTTTAATAAAACACAATTGTATCCCGATACATGTAAATGTACTTCAGATACATGCAAAATTTCTTGAAGTACAGACAGACCTTAGTGATAAGTTATCGACCTTCGGTTTGGAAAGGATTTTTAAATGAAACCGTAATTCATACATTTAGTCCCTCGGTTTTGTTACATTGACTTAATTGTAAAGCTAGACTATATTTCCTAGCTTTTAAGCAAATCATAATTTGCAACTTGACTTATAAGTAGGTTTCTACGAGAAAACAAAAAACTTGTATCCAGGAAGTTCATCCATTTTGTTACATTGACGTTGAACCAAAGTAACTAGTTGTGGGACAGTGCTTAAACCTTGTGTATGTTTGTATTTCAAAAAAGCCTTTTTATTTCAAAAGTCCGAAAGAGGACTTCGGGTTACCGAACCTTTGAAGGGGGTGTACCTATATGTGTATTAGTGAAGTCTTTGGGATTGAATTTCTTGTTTCCTTCGAGATAGTAGACATTGGCACGGTCGACCTTCGTGAAAGCGATTGTAAAGTTGAAACTGTTCCTTCGTCTCGGGTACGGCCACCAACCAACGCATGCATCATACCAGCCGTCGAGTAAACCTGAAGGTGAAATAGAAAAAGTAGACGATGAGGATACCACGATGCATGAGGCAATTAATTAGTTTGTTATTTGAATATAACACGTTCAGTATGGGCTAGAAAGTGTTCCCGTTTAATTACCTTTCCCGGGGTATTCCTTGTCACCCTTTGTCTCCCAGCAATGGTTATAGGCGTCTTGTATGTAAACGCATTCCTTCTCTGCTCTCTCACATACTGAAACAGAGTGCAGTGTATATGACCACTACATCACTCCTAAAATGTGTTCTGATTTAAAATTGACAAGAAATAATATGGCAACCACAAGGCAAAGGACAATGTAAAGAACCCAACTCAGATGGAAAAAATCACATATTCATTTTAGTCATTAGAGCAAGACACAAGAAGACTAAGTGATGAGATGGTTGTGAGTGAATAAAATGGGATTTATTCAATCAGAATATTAATTTGCCATTGCAAATCAAAAAGAACTTGCGGGTTTGAAGAATACACTCACGTTTTTTGATGAAGTCTATGTGGAATCCTCTTAAGTATCCATCATCATCCCTATAATAAGACAAGCCAGTCCTTCTTTTATTTTGTTTCTATACACTAGTTTAAACTCACCACTTTGTCCATGCTTTTAGACAGAGACATGTTTTATATGTCTCTGTTTTGTACAAGTATGTTTGTACTACGCTTTCATGGTAGCCCACCAAGTGGTGGGAGTAGGTTCGATTCGAAGAGAATTCAAGAGATGTTCGATTTTGTTCCCGACATTACACATCATACAAACATGGAACTCTATATTACAATATATGAATTCACTCACAAGAATTCGTAAGCTCCTCCTTCGTCTCCAGTAGAAAATTTCCACACCCTTTTATCATCTTCCCTCTTAGAGGTATCCTCCTTCTCACCAGGCAGTTTACCATAGTAATAATTCACGCTGGTGTTATAATAGTTGCTATGGTGACCGGACTGAGGACCAGGGGCGAAGTGGGCCCCGTTATGTGAGGGCTCTGCGCCACGTTGGTCACGAGGATAACCCACTTTAAACATGAAGGTTTTAGATCATGAATTTTGGTTTAACAATATAGAGGTTTCGAATATTGTTATAAGCGAAACCTGTAATTTTATATTTTATCCGACATTTCTTATAAGTTGATTATTTACCGATACAATTTGAAAGACACTTACCTGCAGCAGATATTAGAGATAGAAAAAAGAGAACATGCATCTTTCCATTTGCTTAAAAGTTAATTTAGAAATGGTTCTCCCTGACTTATATAACAAGCATGGTTTGTCTTGTGCCAAACAACCCCTTAAGTGCAGACCAACGTCACGTGACGCTAAACTCTGGTATTTTGGCCAATGTGATCCATTGAATAAGATCATGTGACTTCGTCTACGATTCAACTTGTCTGCACAGTGAGTGATCTTGACTGAAATGCCAAAAATGTAATGTAAAAAGTACGTATTTGAACTTTTAACATGCACTCACTCTGCCGATGACACCTGTTTTATCTATGTCATCTGATTGTTGTTTTGTCAAAATCGTAGGAATAAGTATGCTGTTAACATTATGTGTCCTTGTGTCTCTACTTATTGTAGGTACCTAGACATACACTCTCCTCTCAAGCTTCGAACCGGGCTTCGAACTTCCCTTATATTTCTGATTTCAAATAAACAGTATTTTTATAAAGCTATGTCACATGGGTATGGTTGGCATTACCAAGCTTTTTGAAGGAAGTGTTAGGAACATATCGCAACACCGTTAAGATACAGTTTATGTACAAACAAACATCAAAGTTCTACTTCAACTTTTTTTAATTCAAAAATATTTATTCTCTTTTGAAATTACCTACATTTCTAACACTTGACACTTTGATAAGTGTATGAGTGTAAAACACAAAATAATTTGTTCTCACATGAGCCACATGGAAATAATAAAAAAACATTACTCAGTCAAAAGAGAATAAAATCAGTTATGATTGATAAGAGTATATGTTTATTTATAAATCAGTTCATTCATTATTTTGATAACATATGCGTTTTAAAATTAATTTTAAGATAAGTGGTGGATTAAAGATTTGGAAACAAAATTTATAATTTGCTTTCAGTACATAGAAAAAGAAGGTGTTTTTCATACATATGAATCTTATTTCACTTACATGTACATGTAGCTGTTTTTCTTTCACTTACACGTAGCTGTTCTTCTTTCACTTACACGTAGCTGTTCTTCTTTTACTATCACTTAGCCGTTCTTCTTTCACTATATTTCACTTACATGTAGCTGTTCTTCTTTCACTTACACGTATCTGTTCTTCTTTCACTTACACGTAGATGTTCTTCTTTCACTTACACGTAGCTGTTCTTCTTTCACTTACACGTAGCCGTTCTTCTTTCACTATCTTTCACTTACATGTAGCTGTTCTTCTTTCACTTACACGTATCTGTTCTTCTTTCACTTACACGTAGATGTTCTTCTTTCACTTACACGTAGCTGTTCTTCTTTCACTTACACGTAGCCGTTCTTCTTTCACTATCTTTCACTTACATTTAACTGTTCTTCTTTCACTTACATGCAGCTGTTCTACTTTCACTTACACGTATATGTTCTTCTTTCACTTACATGTAGCTGTTATTCTTTCATTTACTTGTAGCTGTTCTTCTTTCACTATCATGTAGCTGTTCTTCTTTCACTTACATGTAAATGTTCTTCTTTCACTTACATGTAGCTGTTCTTCTGAGGATGAGCATAATTAACCTTGTTTACATACATAATAAACTCTCATAAATTATCAAACACATTAAATGTTATCTTGAATATGCTGTTAAATGCTTTTACTCGTATTATAAAATAAATAGATGATGCTTACTTGCTTCATTAGATGTGTTACCAGACTCTGAGAATCAAACCTTAATGATCAGAAATGAGTAAGATAATGCACAGATGCAGGGATGAAAAGTTTAGTTTAGTTCGAAAAATCCTTTGCTCATACTAAAGATGATCTAAAACAAATATGTTGTGAAAATATCAACAAAATTACACCCTATATATGGTCTATTACTTACTTAAGATGAACTAAAGTAGAAAATCGACTTTCCTAGGAATATTTGACAAAACAGTTGTAGTGTCTAACATCACTTCTAATGAAGCATTACAGTCAACCATTATGAGATCACACAATTCACATGACCATTATAATAGTTCAAAACAGTCAAGAATACATGGTATTTAACAATTTGATGTGTTTCATGTATTTTTTATTTGCCCCGGGTGCCTTGATTTCCAGTTACTATGACAACCAATTCTTAAATGATATTTCTGTTGCACCAAATATTTGTTGATAGATTAATATAGCACATCTTGTGAAAAATTCATCAGAATATATTTAAAAATAAAAAATATTAGAGAGATATTATGAGAACTTTATGATATACCCCCGTATGTCGTTATTCTTTTCTCACATGTAGCTGTCATTTCACTTATATTAATACTTCACTTACATGTATCTGTTTTTCTTTTACACTCCCCTCCATAAGTTTGGCAACCTTTTTTCCTCATTGAACTACGTGTTAAAGCCTCTTTACCTTTGAATTTTTATTTACTTAACCTGCGATGAAAATACTTATACTATTGATGGAAACGTAATTTGACTTTAATTCCAATACCTCCAAATTTTCTCAATTTTTTTTCTCAATTACAATAGGTCGAAAATTGATGATAAAGATGAATTTTTGAAAATCGACATTCCCATGTTAACCAATGGGAAATGGTAGGTTTGCCGCAAGTCATATGACAGAATATCCATCCATCCGAGTCCTTGCAAAAAATACGAGTTAGGCAGGCAATTGAATTTGCTAACTTTATTTAACAAAAAATTGATATGTTTCTTCAGGTTCAACAAAGTTATAGAGCTTTAAAGTCAAAGTTGTTTTTCAAAAAAACTCTCCCATTGAAATAACACAGGAGGCGAAAATTATTTTCAAAAATGACTTTGAAGCACTGTTACTTTTATATTCATCAAATAAACTAAACACTTAGTGTTTTAAAAAGTTAGACAATTCAATTTTCTATATGAAAATATTTTTTGCTGAATCTTTTACTGAAAAGATATCCTGATTTCTGATTTGCCCCGAACCCTCCATTTCCCATTGGATTACATGGGAATGACGATTTTCAAAAATTCATCAAATTTATCATCAATTTTTGACCTATTGTAATTGAGGAAAAAATTGAGAAAATTTGCAGGTATTGGAAATAAGGTCAAGTTACGTTTCCATCAATATTATAAGTTATTTCATCGCCGGTTAAGTAAATAAAAATTCAAAGGTAAGGAGGCTTTAACACGTAGTTCAATGGGAAAAAAAGGTTGCCAAACTTATGGAGGGGAGTGTACTTACATTTAGCTGTTTTTATAAACGATGACTGTCATAAATTGTTACAATTTATAATGTTTAGGTTCCTAGCTGGCTGCTACCTACAGGAACATAAAAAGTCACTGCTCATGTACATTTTTGAAATATCACTTGACTCATTTTTGCTGTTATAATTAAGGTTTTAGTTCGAAAGATAGATGTCTCGTTTGACTGCATGTCTGCAATATATCATATTATTTATGCGTTTACCAGTTTAGTACATTAACAAAGATGTCACTATCGCAGAACAATCAGTCCCAGCGAAAGTTTAGAAAATAAAATGCCCCTCTGGTTCATTTGAGAAATGTATGTGCAGTACCAATGATAAGTAAACTATTTTATTGAGAAAAGAATCGAAGTATTTGTAACCTTCCTCAGATTCTTCTTTGTTACATATACATTTTGTATGTCTCTACATAAGTGTATAATAATAATAATTTAATTGTATTTAAACGTTTCTCCATGTTGTTGTTAATCAGCTGATTTCTCAACATCTTGTCTTGCACTTTTACAATTTGATGACAAATTGATGGCAAATGCTATTCGAATACTAGACAATTTCGAAATGGTGTCATATTTAATATATCCAGAACATGGCAACTAACAATTTAGTGTTTTCTCATATGTTGTTTACCACTGAAATTATGAATTAAGTGAACATGAATATTAGTACATTCATTGAAAGTCACACAGGAAATTCTACATCTCAATTAATAAAACAGCTGGAAGAGACTTTACATATAGCTAGTATAGCTCTACTCGTGACTGTTATTATTCAATGCTGTATTGTACTAAAAATCCCTTTCGGGTTAATGTACAGCAAATAAACATGATAAAATAAAAACTAAAACTATACATACAATAACAAAATTTGAAAATATGATAAATTTGATAATTTGAAAAGCTTGTTAAAAGTATTTGGTAAACAATTAACAACCGCAGCTCCTTCCAAAACGTACTAAAAGAAATATGTTGGAAAAATCAGCAATACAATATTCTAAAAGCAACGAGATCAGCAATCGCTAACCTGTCCAGTGATACAATAATAATCGGTAGATACTAGGATACGAGTTAAGCTGTCTCCTGTCTGCAAATGTAGTTTACAGTTTTAAGTAAGGTGCTATAAAATAATCCTAACGCGATCACATATACCAAATAGGTTTTTACCCATGGGCGACTCCCAAGCGTAATTTCGAAGACTGTATTCAAAATGTGGAAATGTAGTGTACAGCCATTTCAATAGTCTTCTTAATGTTCAGTAAGCCAAAAAGCAAGTACGATCATGTGACATAAATGTTATAAAACCCTGAAAATAAATAAACGTAACAACACTTTGAACGTATAATTGATAATGAGCTCTCTCGAGCCATAACACAATCGAACGAGGAAGACTTTACATACGATTGGCATTTTGTAATAGGGCGTTTTCCGATTGTGCATTTCTATTTCGACGCAAGTTCAAATATGTTTGAAGAACTTTCATTTTTAAAAGCATTGGTGATCGCCGTTCAAATGTACGCAATATGGCATATCAAGAAGTATAGAACTCCTTGTGTTGGGATAGATTACAAAATCTATAATTCACTCAAGACAAGTTGATTAATTTATAGTAAACAATATTTATTCCATGTTGTATTGTTGATCTGTATATGAACGGAGAAAATTCGATTCACAGAACTCTATTCTGTTTATTGTTACATAAATGTATGTAAACAGTATAGCCATTCATAAAAGACATCGTTGTAAACAATTTACCTCTTTTACTCTGTTAGTTTCGTCTGTTAACACACATGCGCCTTTATATTGTTCATACGCATGCGCC